TGGCGGATCCCATCCCATCCCATCCCACTTACTACACCCCTAACCCTGTTACAAAACACATACACACAACGCTCCTCCTCCTCCTCCTCCTCCATATCCTCCTCCTCCCCATCCCAAACCCCAGCCTCCTCCGTTGCCTTTTCCTCCCTTGAGTTCCCGAAAAAAAAACCTTTTTGATGATGCGCCAACCACCCCGCTCAACGTAAAAAACAAGCAAAACAAACCAAAAACTCTAAAATCAACGCCGCCAATCCACCATCGACATGCAAAATATGCGGCCCTTCCCCCAATCAAACATCTAAACCTCACATGCACAAACAAAGCCCATGCCATCCGCTGTAAACTCAAGACAGAGAGAGAACAGGATAATGAACAACTTTTTTTCTTCTTCAACAACCCCTTCTCAGACTAGAGAAAAAATCACTTCATACTCTGCCTCCCCCCCTTCTTCCCCCTCGTAGCATTAGCAACCGGCTCAGCCACCACCTCAGCCACCACCGCAGCAGCAGCAGCAGCCTCCTTCTTCTTGGTCGGCTTCCTCGACCTCGCCGGCGGCGGCTCAAGACTGTGCAAGTGCCCAATCTCTTCCATCGCCGTCGTGTTCGTCCAGTTCAGACACCTATACTTTGGCTTCTCCTTCTCCTCCTCCTCCTCCTCCTCCTCAACCGGCGCGGCAGGAACCGAGTGCCTGACCCGCGTGCTCCTCTTTCCCTTGTGAGGTTCCGGAGACACCTCCTTGACAGAGGCGGTCTCCTCTTCCTTCTTTTCTGTGGCGCCATTGGTGACAGACTCCTCTGTTGGGGCGGCGGTAGCGGCGGGGGTGTCGTCGATGCCGAGGTATTTCCTCCTGTTGACCATGTTTTTCGCAATCTTGTCGCGGTAGTTGACCAGTTCCTTGCGGAGCTTCAGCTCGTTGACGCCACGGGGGTCGAGCCAGGTGAGAAGCTTGTCGACGTCCTCCTCCCGGTCGTAGTAGCCCCACTGATGGGCGTTGAAGACGCTGGTCTTGCCTTCTTCGAGCTTCTTCCGCTCTGGGACCGTCATCTCAAACTTGGCCTTGTACTCCTCCTGATACTCCTCCTTTGTGTCGATGTAACCCTCCCTCTCCAGCTCATCCGGCCCCTGCACCCAAATGCAACCGTTGGCGTACTCCGCCTCGGCTGTCGAGCTGTCTGGCAGACCACCATACGGCATGCCGTTTCTCTCGAACCAGTAGTATCGGTTCCAAAACCTGTCCTTGCCCAGGACTCTGGTTCTGGGACAGTCGGCCTCCCGGAGGTCATTGTCGATGATGGCAATCTCCTTTTCGCACTCGGCAATGTCGTCCTCTTTCTTTTGAATGTCTCTGAGGACCTTGGTGAACTGTTTGGACTGCTTAGGGACCTTGGCAGCGGCCTCGGCCTTTTCCTTGCGCTCGGCTTCCTTTTCGGCTTTGCGCTTGCGCTCAACGGCACGGTCGTGCCCCCGCCGGAGCTTCCGGCCATCCTCTTCAGAGTCTGGAATCTCGTCAGATGTGTGGTTAGCTTGGAGGTCATCAACATCAGTCATCTTGACGTCTCCATTTATGATGGCGACCTTGGTAGGCTCCAGAGGTGGGCTTGGCGGGAGGTTATCTGGAAGGAGGATCTTGCGCTGATCATTCAGACTCTTCAACTCCTCGATTCTGCAAAGATGTTAGTGATCCAGTCTCCATGTCAGACATCTCCGAACCACTCACAGTTGTTTCCTCTTCCTCTGCCACTCAATCTTTTCCTTTCGGTAGGCAGTCATGGTCTCGCTGCAGTCCTCCATGTACCCACGGATGGCCCTCGTCTCAGCAGTCAGCATGCAAATAATCTGCAGCGCCTGCACCCGATAGTTGACATCAAGTGTGGCATATTTCCGCCGAACCGTCTCCCGGCTGGGCTCGATGTCGACTGGAACCAACTGCTCCAAGAGCTCTTCACAGCTAGCCTTGAGCCGCTCGCTCTTAGACAGCTGGTGCAAAAGCCCCACCATGATGAGCTCCCAACCGCCATCCTTGAAGCTGCGTTTCCTCAGCTGCTCGATCCAGTCAAAGCCCTGAAGCACCTCTTCGGCACGGTGCCCCGGCGCATCTTCCATCTCCGCCTCTTCTTGCTCTGCCGCCGCGAGTTCTGCCGCAAGCCGCTCCGCCTCCAACTTGGCCATGCTGCTTCTGGTGGCCCGCCCGGATGGCTGGGGCTCTGGTTCCGGAGTCGGTGCCGCACTCTCTTCCGGCTCCTCTTCCTCTTCCTCCTCTTCGAGCTCTGGGAGCTGGATCTGGACTTTGCCACCCTCCGCCTCAGAGCTCACCAAGATCTTGAGGACGGAGCAGTGAATCTCTGTGAAAAGCTCGACTGGCACCTCTTCCGAGGCAACAAGCATGGCTTCCACATAGTCATCAAATGTGAAGGAGTCGAGCTTGAAAATTTCGCAGTACACGTTCAGAGTGTCCCAAGTCTCCAACAACGGGCCAACACTCTTCATGAGAATCTTCTCGCTGAAGGGAGATTTGGACTCGGCATCCACTTCGACGGGAGTGTCTTTGCACATAAACTTTAGTTGTGGCCTCACATGGCCCCTGATGTTCAGCTGCAGGTCCTCGATGGGATACTTTGGTGGAGGTGGGGGCGGTGGCGGCTCGGGCGTTTGCGGTACCATTGGTGGTGGAATCTGACCGCGGAAGGATATCGGAAACTGGAACGGATTCCCAGGAAGTGGCAAATGCATAAACTGGCCAGGCTCGTGCGTGTTGCCGTTGGCTTGCATCGCCTGCTGCTTGGCCCTAAGAAGAGCACGCTCTGCCTGGGCAGCCTGCTGAGCTTTGGATTTGTGACTTTTGGGCGCCGGCTTCAGCTCGGGCAATCGAACGGGACCGGTAGGGCTAATCGATCCCGACAGCAAGCTCGAGTCATGGTTCGACATTCTTTTCTGCGCCTGGAGCTGCTTGCGCTCCTGGAGCTTGGTGTCGAAGCGCAGGTGGGCCGGTACGCGCGTGTCGATGTGGTATTTCTCGGCGACCTCGTCCTTGACCAGCCAAGGCGCCCCATTCCAAGCTTCTCTCGTGACTGTCTTCTTGATGTACTGGCGCAGTACCTGCTTTGTGAAGATTTTGCGATCCCGAAATATATGCGCATCGTCGACGACCGCCTCCTCGGCAGGCGACATGGTCAGACTGACAAAGTAGGTCGCAAAGGGTTTTGACAATGTCCCATCAGGAAGCATTTTGCCACCAAAACGGGTCTTGTCCCTGACAATACCAGCGAGCTTCTCGGTGTGGCCTATAACTTCCACCAACACGGCCTCGCCGGGATAATAGTCGTTTTTGAACTCGTCGTATATCTGATCGACGAGCGTATCGATCCGAGAAACTGTCGAAAATTGGATGCGTCGGAGAACGGGGCCCTTGAGAGCTTCGGGGAAGATATCATCGACCTCGGCGGCATTAGCGAGCTAGGCAGGGCAAGAACCCTCGTTAGTATGTTGCCGGGACGAAGGAGGAAGAAGCCGGACCAAGCCTACCTCGCTCTCGAGCGCATCAAAGAAACTCAACCCAGAGTGACCGGTTATAGTACAGATGAAGCGTTTCTGCAAGAGTGTGAGTATAACTAGTCACGCAGACAGAGCTACTCGAGAGTGGAAAAGGGGGGATGCCATACTTGCTTATAAAAGTCCATCCTGAAACACAATGTTAGCATTTTGAAATTCAGAGGAGTCAGAGACAAGCAGTGGACGTGGTTGACATACCGGTTCAGATAGTCTTCATAGGTGGTAAAGACCTCGCCGGTCTGAGGGATGTGCCATACCTAGTAGCAAGAAAAAGTTAGAAACCAATTCAATTGACCAGGGGGTGAATTCAGGAGAAAGGGGGGGGGGATGGTAGTAGACACACCTCCTGCTGCTCATCATCAATATCAGGCACGGGCAGAAACTGCACCGGCTTGCGCTTGAATTGCACCTGAACATTCACAGTGGTTAGTGGTGACATGGGGACCACGGCGGGCGAAAAGCTGCGGCCTACCATGCCGGCGGCGGCGAGGGGGAGAGGTGCCGCGCTATGTAAGCCTCAAACAAAAAAATCGGCTGCAAGGCTGGGCTTCAGCCTCGTGGATTTGGAAGTTGTGACGGTCAGAGAGAAGTCAGGGTGAAGACGCGGTGAGGTGGATGATGGGGACGCGTTGAGATGTTGAAGAAGAGGAGGCGGTGTTGTGCGGTCTGGGGTCGCGATCCGTGGCGGGTTGGGTGGAGAGGTCAGGGTTCGCGGGCGGTGCGGGTGTTGTGTGCGGGTGCCCAGAGGAGAGGAGCTCGCCGAACGTACATGCAAGCAAGGCGGACGGGATTGTGACGGATCAAAATGATGCTCTTCTCGAGCTGTCCCTGGGAGATATCTCTTGATGTTTGAGCGAGGCGCGGCGCGGCGGTTGTTGCTGGCGCTGCAGGCAAGAGTTCGCAAGCCGTGGATTCGGGAAAAGGCTGGAGGGCGGTGGGTGGGTGGGAGAGTGGGAAGTTGGAGGATGGAGGAAAAAGTTCAACAAGGGGAGGAGGGTGCGCAGGTGATAGGTCCAGCGTGGTGCTGGTCTCCCGGACCCGCCAAGCAGGGACGGCATCCCATGGCTCCAGCTCCGACCCCCAAAAAGGGCTCCTCCTCGTCCACACCTCGACCCCCCCCCCCAGGAACCCTATCCTCCCGACAACCCGCCCGACCATGCAAGCTTTGCCCACGTTCTTGTACTCGCCATGCTCGCCGCGACGAGGGCTCTCGAGTGAGCTCTGAAGCATCCGAATCCGACAGGGCATCAATTATTTATGTCCAGTAGACTGCTCGCCAAAATTTGTTTTCCAAGGGTAGGGGTCCGCTCTTCTTCCACGCCAGAGCCGAGCCAGCTCTCGAGGCCCCCCGGTAGACCACCACCCGCGTCAACCGTTGGGCTCCGCCAGTACCTCCCCCTCCAGTCCCCCGGCACTGCTATGGGATAACACACTGTGTTCTGCACCATTTTGCCTCCCCAGAAACAGAGGGAAAAGCATCAATGTTGTATTTCTTTCAATCCCGTGTTGATGTTGGGAGATGTTGCCCCTGAATCGGAATTTGGACGTTCAACATTGTATGTGCATGTGCTCGCTGTTTTTGGCAAGTACCAGTACCTCCGCTCTCGACACGTCCACTCAGCCATGTCAGCGCAATCAGCCCAGCATTAAACCTGCTGCATCGGCCCTCGTCGCATCTGAGAGAATCGTTGATGCATTCAGCATATTGTTTCCCCCCAGAATATGCAGAGGTGGCGTATCTGGTCTGCACCGTGTAAATGCTTGTACCGGTACTTTGTGACATCTTCTGCGGCGTGTTGCTCGCGGCAATCGCCGTGTGTAAGTCAATCTACAGGCAGATCATTTCTATGACTTCTCCTTCTTCTCTGGTGAGTGGCATCGGAAAAGACTCCGGGGGACGGCTGCGCGGGTGCAGCGTGTGTCCAACTGATGCTTCCTGTTTGCCTCCTCCTCCACTGGCCGTACCCCATCTGCAGGTGATGAGATTCTCGTGCCCTCTCTCACTCTCCTCTTCAATTCAGATTCAGTATCCACCAATGCCTGCCGCGTCCCACCACCACCACCCCGGCTTGTCCCCAGCCCGTTTCTCCACACTGAGCAAGGTGTCAGCCTCGCGTCGGCGAATCGTCGGCTGCCGATAAACTGATAAGCCGCTACAGATCCGCTTATTCATCACAGGGGTTTCAACTTCATTTTGTTGTCGGATGTAAGGATGTGCTGAAATTGGAATTGCGCGTAAATGTATGTATCTCTATCTATGAGGTGAAGTAAACCACCAAAAAGCCCACCCAGCTGCCGACAACTCCTATAGCCGAGTACGAACTGGTGAACATGAGAGGGAGAAACTCGTAACTTCTGCCGAAAATGATCCCGTGCAGCAGCGAGCAGTACAGTATGAGCGGGATGCTCACTGTGATGTAGAGCGTGCTGAAGCGGTCAAACAAGAAGAACCTCGGCCGGGGCGATGCAGGCGCGAGACGGTCGAATGCCATTAGGAACAGGATCAACCAGAAAATGGTATATGCGGTCTTGATCGGGAACTCGGCCGGTGTGAACAGGAGCGGGAACAGTGAAACATGTCCCGCAACAGCCAGCGGCCGGAAGGCACCAAGATAGCGTCTGTCCCTGAGAGCAATGAGGCTGAATGGTATGATGACCAGGAGGATGGCTTTCTCGTGGACGTGCCATCCGAACAGGAAGGAAGCATAACCGCACAGCGTGACAGCTCCAATAAAGGTATCCCATGTGGGCTGACCAAACAGCCTCACAAGAGGAATGACCTGGAAGATCAAAGTCGAGGCGAAGCACACCTGTGGCGTGATGTCGGGAAGGACGGCAAACGCAGTGTCTCCGACCAAGCCACGGGTGACGCTTTGGAGCGCGCTGCTCTTGACCGACAAACCAATTCTGGGCGCGAGGACGATCAAGACTCGGTCCACAAACGAATAGATGGCCCACACGTTTGGCGCCCAGTAAGCATGGCATAGACCCCGAGAAAAGGGGAACAGCCGGCTCAAGATCTGGGGGATCTGCCCCTTGAGAGCAAACGGACCAAACGCCACCCCAAAGATGGCCGCAATTCCTCCGCCCAGCTTCACGCAGTTGAGAAACTGAATCCGGAATATCGACTTTGGAGAAAGGCAGTAGGCCCTGAGCAGGAAGACAAAGTATGCCGGCGCGAGGTAGAGGTAGATGTGCTTCATGCACAGCAGCGCCGCAAACAACAGGCCGCTCCACAGTAAGGTCGACTTCTTCCTAGCCAAAATCAGGGACCAAATGAGGATGCCGTACATGCACCCGTTGTACTGGAAGTGAATGTGATCGATAATAAGGAGACCTGGTGACAACAGGATAGAAAAGGCAGCCGCCTGGGCCGCGCGCTTCGATGTGCCATGGCTTGAGTCCACAAATCTAACCACAGTCAGCTTGCGCGCCTTGATAAACGCAACACGCAACAGGTATTTCTTACAATTGGAGAGCGTAGACCAAAAGAAGTTCCGTGATAATCACAGTGAGCCTCTGAAAGTATACCGTCTCCCAGCTAGCGTATTCGAGATTGCGCACCCTCAGCATGGCCGGGTCAGCCAGCTTCGCGACCTGTGACATGATCCATTCAAAGTATGCAAAGAACGGAGGGTAGTCGAGCGTCCATTCGGACGTCTTTTCGTAGTACCACTCCCATAATGGCAGGCTGTTGGTGATGGCGAGCCAGTTTCGGTGGACTTCGAAATCGGTCGATTTGCTAAAGAAACATCACGTCAGCTACCGATGCGCGTTGAGGGGCTAACGTTGTGACAGGAAGCTCACTATGCTGGGAACAACAAGATTTTGAATGCGGCAGCCACTACGGCGCATTGCGCAAGAGTAGGATAGATCTCTCCCATGGCGACATATCGGAGCGACTCTCTCTCTCTGTCTCTCTCTCTCTCTTTCTCTCTCAATTCCAGGGCGTCAATCGCAATTGTGGACTTGGCCAAAAATGTTGACAAGGTGACGGCAACAGCTCTGGTGGGGCCGGCAACCGTTTATGCACCAGCCACATCTCTCCTGCATTCAAATGGTTGAAGAGTGCGGCGCCACCGTTTGAAGTGATGGAAACAAGCCACGAATTCCCCGCAGGAACAAACTGCGGAGTTTAGCAAGGACCCCTGTTTCCGGTCTTGAACTTTTGGAGCATCAGGTTCCGGCTGCTGCAGGGGAACAGCTGGTCTTTTCGATTCGGGGCAGCCTCAGTGTCAGAACCTCCAACACCGGAGACAGATTTCTATTCTTGATATTTCTAGAGTCGTTCCAACAATTTCTACAGATATAGACTAGACCTCGGACTTCTCTCCTATCTAGTCAACTCTTCTGTCTAAATATTTTCTGTTTACATCCATTACTGTTTCCCCGCGCTATAATTACCACGTTCTGTTTAAGCTTCCCACCGATCCGACCCTGGCCGTCCTTTGTATATTTCTCCACACTGACCGACCCGACCACCCGCCTGTCCGCTGTAGAGCCAAAGTGTCCTTTTAACTGGTGACCACTGTTGAAATCAGCCGGCACCTTTCTCGTTGGTGGTACTTACTTTACTTGAACATACTACGTGAGACCTTCAATCCTCTTGTCGTCGACCTCATCTTGCGACCGAGCAGATAAGCCAGCCATATCGATCCAGGATGCGCTCGCCATCGAGCTTCGCCGTGCTCGCTGCGGCTTTGGCCCAGGCGCATGCGCAGTATCTTGTCAATGACCTCAGTTTTGGTTATGGCCCCAGGTGTGTTCTTTTGTGGGCGAGTTGGATTCTTGTGTTGTGCAGGTTCTGACGTGGTCGTGTTTCTCCGTCTTCAGAATAGCTCCCGAGGGGCAGCCCCAGATCCCAAACTATGGAATGCAAGGCCGACCTGGTCTTCCGGAATTGCTCTCCAACAAAATCATCCTTACGCCAGTAGCCCCCGGTAACCAACGCGGTGCTGTCTGGTCTTCAAATCAGCTCAACCAGCAGAACTGGATCGCCGATGTCGAGTTTCGTGCGAACGGTCCGGAGCGGGGTGGTGGTAACCTCAACATCTGGCTGGCAAGGGACGGTGCCCATGTGATCGGGACCGAGAGCATCTACACAGTCGGCAGGTTCGATGGTCTGGCTCTGGTGATCGACCAGCACAGCGGGTCTGGCGGTATGCTTCGCGGCTTCCTCAACGACGGCACCACCGATTATAGGTCCCAGCACAACGTAGACAGCCTGGCTTTTGGTCAGTGCAGCTTTGGTTACCGGAACCTCGGCCGTCCCACCCAGATCAAGATTCGGCAAACCGACCAGAAATTCAGCATCGAAGTTGCCGGGCGCCCATGCCTCGAGAGCGACAAGATCCGCCTTCCTCCCGGATACAACGTCGGTATCACTGCCGCCTCCGCCGATACGCCTGATTCCTTCGAAGTGTTCAAGCTTGTTGTTTTGACCGACGACAGCCATCATTATGGCGGTTCTGACAACACCCAGCACCACGACAGCTATGCATCCCATCAGGAGAACACCCACCAGCAAGACCAACATTACCAACAGCAACAACAGCAGGAGGAGCCCAAGAGGAAGATGAACTTTGGCCGCGGAGGTCAGGCCAAGATCGAGGATCCCTATGACAACGTAATTCCCGACCAAGATGCGTCCACCATTTCCACTCAGCAAGCCCAGTTTGCCGATCTGCACAACCGTGTCCAGAGCATCAACCACCATTTGTCCTCCATCTTCCGCACTCTTGGCCAGAACCACGGTGTCGGGGAGCAGCGCCATGCCGAGCTCTCATCCATGATCAACGATGTCAAGAACTTCCTCCACCGCCTGGACAAGCTTGACGTTCTGGAGCATCGTATGGGAGATGTCGAGCGCGAATTGAGATCTCTTCGGAGCGAGCTCAGCGGAAAGTTGAGGGAGAGCGAGAACGCCATCAAGTACCACGTCAGTGACAAGCATGAGGCGCTGCATGAGCATGTCAAGGAGCACGCCGGGACTGGACACACCAAGCTGATTTTGGTGATTATTCTGAGCCAGGCGGTGTTGGCCGGTGCGTTTTACATGTATAAGAAGAGGAAGAGCTCGCCAAAGAAGTACCTTTAGACCCTAAATTGATGAATGGGAGAATGGCGAAAGAATCTGGGCGGGGGGATGTATAAAACGGTTGCTTAAAGAAGAGAGGATACCTGGAAGAAAGGGATGGGATAACAGGGATATGATGGATGTGCCTTTTTTTTGTTCTTTAGCTTGGCGTTAGATTGGGAAATGTTTGAGTTCATGATCTTTTTGGGTGTTACAAATCGAGAAGGTTTGAATCATACTACTACGATGGATGGCGTGTAGTGGTGCAATGAGGAGGGTTGTATTCGACAATCTTGGAAATGCCGTGAATGGTCAGAGAACCAAGTTTTGGATTGACGGGGTGGGGTCCGAGCTCGATGGGGCAACTTCATGGCGGCATGTTGTTTACTTGCCTCTTGCATACAATCTTCGTCAGTCTTGTTCTTTCATTTGTACGGCTCGTGATCTCGCTGTCCGTGAGTATTGTATATACTCCCTAGTTGAGAGGATAATTGGACGACTGGCTCTCTTATCTCCGGTATCCCCGCAGTATCTAACCATACGCTTACACCTCTGAAACTCGAGCTCACGCCCAGCGCTTGCTCACCATCATACCTCGAACCAGCTGATCAAGCTGAGGGGGTAGATGATGAACACTCTAAGATTGACCCTTCTGGGTCTGCTGTTAGGGACACAGGGAGTGGAGGGGTGGGATCATGTCAACCCTGCCGAGTTAAACAGGGTCATATCCGAGACTGAAACACCTGTGCTGGTTGCTTGTAAGTCACGCATGCCGCTTCACATTGTCTTGCTTGCGCCTCAGCTAACACAGTACTTTCTAACTAACTAGTTGTAAAGGTACTACCAGCCTTCCTTTTTTTCATCCCACCAGTCTCAACTGACCAATGCATTCTCTGCCCATAACAACAGCCAGAGGAGTTCGTCCCCCCACTCCTCACCATAGATATCTGAGTATCTAACCACCCCTATAGACCTTCGAGCGCCTCCCTCGAAGAAGAATGGACAACCGCCACCGCCGTCGCCGATAAACACTCTCGAACCCTACTCAGCATCGACTGCTCAGAACACCCAACCCACTGCGAAATCCAACCCTCCATGACCTTCCCCTCCATCTTCCTACTCCAAGCAAACAAACCCCCAGTTAAATACCTCGGTCCCTTGCTATCCAAATCCTTGAATAACTTTCTGTCTCGGTCCACCCGTCTCCAGCCAACGCCCCTCGCGCAAGTAGACGACCTTGCCAAGTTCAAAACCTCGGATGAGACAGTCTTTATTCTCTTTCTTCCCCGGCCGCAGGAGTTTGTTACCAGTGTATACGAAGACCTCGCCCAAAAGTACAAGAACGAATTCACCTTTGGAACTGTGGTGGGGGTTGATGAACTTCTCGAGAAGGAAAGGGTAGATTTGGAGTTGAAAGGTGTGCTGGTGGTGTATAAACCCCTCGACGGCGAGACAGAAAAGCTTGACCTTACAACAGTCAACTCTGGTGTTGATGAGGTTGAAAAATTGTACCCCCCACCCCCCACCTTTCCATTTTACATGTCCACCCACTCCCATAATATACTAACGCTCCCATAGCATCAAAGAATCCTCCCGCCTCACAATAACAGATCTCTCCCCCTGGAACCACCCCCGCCTTCTCGAGGTGACCTTTCCCCTCCTCCCTTCAACCCCCCCGTTCTACCCCCATCTCTTACTAACCTTGTATAGCTCCAAAAACCACTGGTCTACCTCTTCGCCCCGACGCCCTCCGCCCGCGACAACCTCCGCAGCCAGTACCTCCGTTTTGCAAAGGATTACCACCAGCAATTCGTCTCCATTCTTGTTGATCCTCACCTATTTCCTGATCTCATGCCCCAGTTGGGGTTGCTTGACACGACAAGGTTCCCGGCGGGGGCTGTGCGTCTCGTGGCTGAAGATAAAACATATCCTTACCCTCAAACGGAAGAGATGACGTTGGGGAGGGTGCAGGGGTGGGGGATGAGGATTTGGCAGGGGGGGGTTGAGGCTTGATTTTCAGTGGTGGTGTGGTTTTTGGGGGGGGTTGTGGT